AACCATCTGTTGAACAAGGGTGAGCAACATGAAGGCTATTTAGGCATCTGAAATAATGATGGCATTTTGAAGCACCTTTCTGGGTGACACGGCAGGTCAAATATCAAATGATCTTCAGATGGCTTCTCCCTGAGGAGCTCAGGTGCACTGTGGAGCCTTGGCTGCAGAAATAGCTTCTTGGCTAAAGCTGGATCTTGCCAGAAGGGGCTATTACCTATGCTGGAGTACCTCTGGACCTCTGAAAGGTGAAGGCAACCTTAGCAGTTCAGCCCCAAAAGGGAAGAGTGGGCAGCTGCTTATGGAGTAGATTTTTTCCAGATATAGGAATCAAGTGCCACAAGGTTGTGCCCGAACAGGAGGTATGTGTGAGCTGAAAGACCAGATTCAAGTGACTCTTCTGGATGCTGTTATGTGTGCCACTAGCTTCAGAAAGGGTCCCCAGGTGCCAGACTTTGTCCATATGCTAATCTCCCTGTATCTGCTAGGTCTGGTGCTGAAAAGAAACAGCCTGAAACTAGGAAGAAACTAGAGTTCTGTGCATATTACTGTAGACATCTGAAGCTGGGTCAGAGGTCAGAATTGGGGCTACCTGTCTGTCACACTTCAAAGTGAGGTGTTTTTGTGTCAGCTTATGCAGCTCAACAGAACTAAATGCTATCAGGACATCTTCAGATGCTTATGAAGACGTTCAGACTGTGCTCTGTGAAATGCCATTATAAAAAAGCTCTCAAACAGTCAGTGCAGCACAGAATAACCCAGGAGCTGCCAAATGTAGCTAGCATTCCTCCAAATATAAATAGCCCTTTTTCCCTGTTCACAGCTAAAAAGTGTTACGAAGGATTTGATGATCAGTGAAATTAATGACACAATGCTATTGATTTCAGTATTTCTTCAAGATAGCACTCAAGGGGTGAAATCAACTGCAGTTTTATTTGGCTGGGCTGTAAGTCAGGGCTCTTGGTGTGTGGGTTTGGCACATGGCTGTTGTGCTTTGCAGTCAGTCTGCATTCACACAGGGCATAAGGTGATGCCTGGAAGCACCTGGCTTACTGCACATGCCTTCAACCCTCCCTTCTCCTAGCATAAAGCACTTGGAGGTGGGCTGAAATGATGAGGAAGGGACTTAGGACAGAGCTTTATAAACATATTAAAAACTTATCCTCCTGTAATTTAATTGTTCGTGATTCCCCCATCTCTGTTTCCTTTCTTCTTCTTCCCTTCCCTGTACACCCACCCTGCAGCCCCAGGGAAAAGCCCATCACTAAGTTGCCCTGTCACTAACAGGCAGGTCAGTGGCACCCTCATATGCTCTGTCTTCATCCTTTGCTCTTATGTTGGCTTAGGGATTTTGCTTAAAAAGATGAATTAACTACTGTTTGATATCCCAGAAAAGCAAAATAGACCACTGAATACTGCAAAGACATTAGATAAGGGCTAGATACTGTCTTGGGTAATCCGTGTTGTCTTCTCCATAATGCAGTATCTGTAGAGGGAGTACAGTAATAAAAAAGAAACGTAGGAGAAGGCATATTCAGATGGAAAAAAAATTAGCTCAGAAGGATGAACTTTGGGATTTCAAGCATGGATGATTCATGTAAAATCTCTCTTGGAATATATTATTCTGCATGTGACATTACAAAGAAGTATTCCACTGCAGTAACTAACTGGCTTTGGAGAAGAATTTATGATGAGAAGGAAAAAAATATTGTTCTTCCCAGCTCCAGAACTATGATGCTGTTACATTCACGGTTTTCCATATTGAGTTGTTTTTAAAGGGGACTGCCAGGGTTTGAGTTATGCTGTCATGAGGTCAAGTCACCCAGCCACCATATGTCTGGACACAATTGAATTTTGCCCAGTTCCCTAATGGTCCACTGAAGTGACTGTAGCAAAAGTGGCTGTCCTCAGTCAGGGGGAGGAGAAGGGGGATTGCTGTGCTGGGCCATAGGATGGAGGAGGAGCAGCTGTGTCAATTCTAGTGAAACTTGACTGGGAGAACTACAGAAAGAAAATTCTTAGTTGCAAGACATGCCTGTGGCTTCTGTCCCACTCTGTGTGATGAGTAGAACTTGTTGGATTGACCAGCTTCTGATGTGAGACTCTAGACTGAAGGAAGACCACAGATATGGGAGGTACTGGTAGGAGCAAATGTCCTCGTGGCTGAGTTCAGAGATGATGCAGTCCCAGAGCTGCACATGGATATGACACATAAGCAGCAATGAGCAAAGCTGGAAGCCTTGGGGAGGATGGGGGTGAGCTGGAGGTTGGTGTGTGGAGATGTACAGGATGTCTCTAATAGACATGGGAGGAATGGGCGATGGGTACTCTGTGCCAGGGATGCAGAGACTTGGGCAGTAGTTGCAGCCCTAATAAGAACAAAACATGACAGCATGGGGGGTAAAGTGTGGTCTTAAAAATACTGGGAGTGGTGAAGGTAAGATGCAGAAGGTTGTAGTCATAGTAATAGGGACAGTGATCAGAAATATCTGTCCTTCAGTGTAGGCAAACACAGCAAATGTTTTAATTTTTAAATGTTTTAATTCCCAGCAGTGTTGTGAACATTTGTTCTCATCTGGCCTGGATGTGCATGACTCGGTCTGAACACTGGGTCATTAGTAGTATTCTTTGGGTGGGTTGGTTGTTCATTCTTTCTTTCCCAGCCCTGTGCAGTAGCTGACAGCCTCCCACAGGGTCAAGTGTCCTTTGCTTTCCTCCCTAGAGTGAAGAGTGTTCCCTGCCCAGGGCTGGAGCAGCATGTGCTGCCCATCACTAGGGGATGTTTGGGGCATGGGCAGCAGCTGAGCAACTGGAACTTCTGAGCCTCCTAGCTGCTGCAAGTGCTTCTGGCTCCTGAGCCACCATGGAGAGGCAGTTTCCTATTCACTGACTAATATAAACCTTTCATAATCTCACTGAGCCCTGTCACAGCATCCTCAGGATTCATCATGTTAGAGACAGTTACTGGAATATGCAGCAGTAGGAGTGTGACAGCCCTGATTTTAAGAAATGAGCTTTCCATTAGGACAAATCCTATATAGATAAATGATTCATTATCAAAATGTATGGCTACGTTCTGCCTCTGCTAACTTTTGTACTCGTAGGTACAAAACTTAATCAGCACGTTCACTTGCAGCAAATGTAAACGTGCTCAGTATAAATGTCAAGGTAGTTGCTGTCCTAAATGAAGAAGTCTGGCTCTTTTTCTTTTTTTCTTCTGCATTTGAATCTTTTCTTGGCATATGAGAAAAATATGTGAGAGTTGAACTTGGCAGCTGGCAATTTGTGCTTGACCTGTCATGTGCTGAGCAGGATGAGAACAGGTTATGACAGATTTGTCATATTTAACAATGAGTTTGTCGATGTCTTGTTAGCACTGGGGGAATGTGCTTCCATCACAAGATTTCCTGGAAGAGTAAAAGATGCTCATGCAAAATTAACCACAATTAGGAAGCCTCAGTTTTGACACTTCTCAGAATCTCGAACCTGGAGGCTATAAAAACCTGAGTTCTAAATTTGGCAGCTATGCAGAGGCTTTGGTGTGTTCTCCATGGGATGTTCCTTGTATTATTTTCTGCTGCTGCTGCCCGTAGAATGAGTTTCTGGACATTAGATCTACTACTTATTTTCATTTTGGGAAAACATTGCCCACCAACTGCTGTTTGTTCCTTCCATCCACAGTAAGATTACCTTTTCAGGGGTTTTGCTGGAAAATGTGAGTTTTGGCTGTCTGTTCTCTGCTAGAAGGGAATGGGCAATAAATTGACTCCACGAAGAAGGTGACTTAGGATGAAGGACCAGAGAGGTGCAGTGGGTGTGCTGGTGACCACAAGGTGCTCTAGAGGAGTGGTTTCTGTTGCTGGACCCTACAAGACTGGTAACCCTTTACTTCCCGAGTCTTATCTATAGGACTATCGCTGCATTTCTTTGTTTAGAGTTGACATAGTTTGATATGAGACTGTTCCACAGAACTAGTGAGACTGAGTAGTGGAGTTGTTAGGTTGTGCAGCTTTGGGGACATTTCTGTTCAATTCCCCCTCCATCTCTCTTCAACATCTATCATGTAAAAGAATTGGTGAAATGTTTTCTGATTATGAATATTTGAATATAACTTCCTGATTCCCCAACTGGGGAATTCATATTAAATTCATATTTAATTTAATTCATATTAAATGAATTTAAATAGTGAAGAATTCCTCCTCAGTCAAATTTAGGAGTGTTACTTATAGGTTGTGAGGGTGAAAAGTAGATGTTAGAAATATGAAGCAACTGCAGCATGTGTTTATAGAAGCTGTATACAAGGTAACAGATATATGTTTGTTGTTTTGGCATGGAAGCTGTTTTCCAATCTTTTTTTAGCAACCAAGCAACAGATATCTGTGTTTACAAGTCTGTGAAACTTTAAAGCTAAAAAGCTTTCAAATAACTACAACTGTGGACTTTATTTGTGTTGTTGTTTTTTTTTTTTTTTTTTAAGTGAAGCATTCTAACAAATCATCAATTTCCCATCAAAAAGTAATTTGGAGAGCAGCTTTGTACCATTCTTACGGTTTTCTGTGATGAAAGCTGTACTGGAACTGGACTTGCTCCTCCAAATGGATGACTACTTTAGATTTTTATCTTCACCTCTGTTTTGCTTCTGCTTCGTCAGGTTGGTCTTTCTCATGTTCTTCATGTAAATATTTCTCAAACTGGCATGAGCTTTGATCCTCTCTGCCTCTGGGCTAAAATGTTGTTCAGATGGTATTGTGCTGAAGCTCATGTACGGACATGAGAGATCTGGTGGACATGGCAGCTTCACCATCCAGGGTCTTCAAGTTGACTGTAAGGTAATTCATGTCAATGCTGCATTTCTTTAAGAGCAATCACGAGCATGTTCACGCTCTCTCTCCTTTTCTTGGTCCTTTGCAACACAGTATAATTCTTTTCTCTCCTTCTCCAGTCAATAATGGATATATAGCTTTCAGAGCTCCTCAATAAAAACCCAAATTGTGCTTTTTCAGGTCACAGAGCTCAATAATGTGAAGAACATATTGCGAATGCCAAAAAGCACAAAGAAACATGCTGTTGGGATTTATTTTAATGATGACACATCAAAAACCTTTACTTGTGAGTCAGGTGGGTAAAATGGCCGCGGACATTAGAGAACATAAGTGCATTTGTTGTGAAATTATAAATGTATTATACCTACACACAGATTTTCTGGGCATTTATACAGAACTTGAGGCAGATGAATGGTGCAAGGTGCTGCAGATGGAGTGTCTTGGAACACGAATTAATGACATTAGCCTTGGAGAGCCCGACTTGTTGGCATCTGGAGTAGAGAGGGAGCAGAGTGGTAGGTACATAAATGTTGACCTTTTAATCTTTAATTGCATGATTTTTAAGTCTTTTGGGTTGTGCATATGAATATTAGAAATAAATTGGAGCAAAATTGTTTTTTAAAGCCCTCTCTTCCTGTATTGAGGACATTGGTCTTGTTTGTGTGAGATTTTTTTGGCTTTTTTTCTTTCTCATTGCTACCAGAGATAATAAATAAGGTAACTAGAATTATTTTGGGGTAGCACTTTTTCTCAGACAAGTTAGTTGCTCTTAGAGATGGGGACTATCTTTTGTTGTCTGTTGTGATGTCTGTACAGCAGTTTCAGTCTGTGGCTGAGGCTCTTTGGCAGCATTGTAAAGCAAATAATAAATAATAGCAATTGCTTGCAAAACCTGAGCCTGTGGCTCCTTTACTTTCCTATGCAAATTAACTAATTACCCACACAACTGCAATTGCGATGTATTTATTCATGCACAGAATTTTATTAATTGTTTGCAAATATCAGGATTATGATTGTGCAGTTCTCTTCTCAATGCACATACAAACATTTGACAGCAACATTCTGACTGCCCAAAATATAGAGTTTGAATTACTGGAAGAAACAGAGTCTTTGTGTTTGAACTGATTGTTCTAAGTGGAATTAAGATTTTGTATTAGAGATGGAAAATATGAAATTCCTTTAATGACTTGCACATTTAGTGGGCAGGGATTTTAGACTAACCTTTTGTTTTTCTCCCAGAGAGATTCAATGTGTATTTGATGCCATCCCCTAATTTAGATGTGCATGGGGAATGTACCTTGCAGATAACATTTGAGAACATCTGTCTTTGGGACATCCAGAATCCCAGAGTAAAACTAATTTCTTGGCCGTTAAGTGCCCTCCGGCGCTATGGGCGGGACCCCTCGTGGTTCACGTTTGAAGCAGGGAGGTAAGTGGGGGTTTGTTCTATTGCATTGCTCTCCTCGGTGCTGCAGGGTGGTGCTCTGGACTCTTTCTGAAGGTTGTTGAAGGACATGGGAGCTTGTCTGCAGACAGAGGCTCATCAAGCCTAACCTTGAATGTCTCCAGGGACAGGCTAGACTGTACCTTCTGCTAAACCAAAACAAAGCCCAAATTAAAACCCTCTTATTCCCAGGTTGCAGCTTGAATGGAAGCAGCTGCCAGATAAAAGCTCCTGAGGATAGAGGTGGGAGAGCTGAGGGGCTTGCAGCGTGAAGGTTAACAGCACTGGATATTGCTGTATAGGGTTGTTCTCAAATAAAGCTGTATGTGAACGGTGTGGACAGATCTGGGAAGAAGGGGTGAACATCATGCCAGAATTTGTACAATGTTGGCCTATAGGCACAGAGTTGTGGGTCTTCTGCTAGGAGAAGTGGAGAGAGGAACTGCCAACTTATTTCCTAAATGCATGGAGAAAGGACTCCTGTTTTCTATGGATTATATTCCCATTTATTCAGCTAAACTTGTTTTCCATGGATTATAATCCCATTTATTAAACTAAGCTTGTTTATTCAACTAAACTATCAAATCCTTTCTAAGTGATATGGATGCATTATTTTAGATAAGCACATTAAAGAATTACAATAGTACAAGAGAACCAGATCGTACAATTAACTTATCTGGAAAGGGAAGAGGCTTTTAAATGTCTATCCTCTGTGTTACTGCAGAAATTAGTCCTCTTTGGGAGGGTAAGGATACTTTTTTATTTAGCTAATCACAGATTCACCATGATTGGACAATGCAATTGGGATGCTGAAGATACATATTTATTGTTTCAAGTGGAAGACAAACTGCAAAACTCATTACAGGCAGTGTTAAAAGTCTGAAAGGGGAAGGCAAATTAATCTTACCTGGCACAAATTCGAGATAGGGTCAAAATAGTAAAAATATGGGTCTGGTGTGTGAACCCTCTAGAGCTTAAGCACTTAGGATAGATCAGTGGTACTTAGCTGAGTTCCAGTTTGGTGAAAGCAATACAAATATGGGCTACAACAGTAAGACTGGACCAGGGCTGCCGAGACCCCCACACAAAGACACTTAGATAACTTTGTTCCTTATTTCAACCACCTTTGTTTTCTTACTGCTTGTGCATTGGTGCTTCTAGAGCAGCATGGTGAAATTATGCTTGTTCATGGTGACCTGTAAACGCAAATCTCACACTTGGATCCCGTCTGTTCTTGCTTTGGCAGGATGTGTGACACAGGAGAAGGACTATTCATCTTTCAGACCAGAGATGGGGAAGCAATCTATCAGAAGGTCCACTCGGCTGCTTTGGCCATAGCAGAACAACACGAGCGCTTGTTGCAGAGTGTGAAAAACTCAATGGTACAGCTGCTTGCTATGTTTGTTATTGCACACTGGGCACTGGAATGTGTTTCTGGAATGTGATATTAAGTTTTGATTCACAGATAGGAAGCAGCCTGATTATTACTCTTATGAAATTCTGCTAGATTATAATATTTAAAATAATATATGTAGCTGGATTGCTTTTCAAGAATCAAAACAACAGGGAAACTTATAGGTTCTGATTTTTGTGTCTTCAAAGCTGTCAATAAGCATGAATTAATAGAGAAGATAAGCTCCTGTCAGTGCACATTCTCATTAGCTTCCCTTGATTAATCAGCATCATGGGTTTGTTTGGAAGTGTTTCTCATCAATCTATTTGCAAAATGTTGTGGCTCATGCTCAGCTTTCCATTTGCTAATTGATGCCTACACTACAAGGATGACTTGGAAAGAGTCATATGGCTCAGATTAAACTGTGGGGGAGGACTAGATGTTTGTCTGATCTCTCAGTGGATGTTTCCCACAGGTGTTTTTTGTATCTAACACTTGTTTTATGACACACATGACTGGCAGGAAACATAGAAGGGTAAGATGTGAAACTAACATACCTAGAAAAGAAGGTGTGGGATCTCCAAAAGCCTTATATCTGAGGAAAGTAGTTTTATGACACTTGCATCCAGCGTGTTTTGGGATCTTACCAACTTATAATTGTGGTTTTGATTGTGGGTTGGTGTTTTGTTTTTTGTGTTTTTTTTTTTTTGTTTTGTTTTGTTTTGTTTGTTTGTTTTTGGTTTTTTTTTTTTTTTTGGTCATGGTCCCTGTAGAGTGAAAAGGAATGTTCTATTTATCCCATATCACAATTGGTCTCTACACTTCAGGACTCACAGGGTGACCCTTGGCAGCAGAATTAATATCCTGAAGATAACAGGCTTTCTGGAATGTATAAAATGCTCAGAATGGACAGCTGTGGAACAACTTGTCTATAAACAACAACTCTATTCCAGGCAGTAGTAATTGGTTTATGTAGTCTGCAACAAGACTGGGGTCTTTCTCTTACTGTAAACATAAGCGCTGCTGTGATCCATATCCATGTCTAATCCTTTCAGTAATTCTACTAAAGTCTTGGTTTCAGGGATAAGTTGTAATGATGAATTATCCCAGTATTAACTTGATGACCCAGCTGGGATCAAACAGAAAATGCCATTACTATTTGGGGAAACCTAAGAAAAGATGAGAGTGGATGTTGAGGGAATGGAGAAAGGAACAAACTGCCTTGAGTACTTGTAATTTTTTTTGTTCTTTTACATTCTTGCAATTGAGACAGAATGGAAGCCAAATACATTATAGGAAAGTTGTTTCTCTTAACAGTCTAATGAGGAGGAACAAAAGAGGAGAGGAGGAGCAAGAGGAAACTCTTTCCAGGTGTCCCAACCAATCTTGTGGACTGAATAACTGATTGCTTTCAGTTATTTGCCCACACGGGCAAATGGGTAATTCTGTGATTTGCAGAGCAAGTGGCATAATTGAAACGGGAAAGTTAGAAGGATTCAAGTCGGTTTGTGTGTGGGTCATGGAATATCTTTGCTTTCAACAGGACACTGCTGTCCCATGGAGAACTTGTTGTCCACCAGGACTCCAAGTTCCCTCTCCACAGAGCTGCTCTCCAGCAGATCTCCTCCTAACCTGTGCTGGTGCATTTTATTACTCCTGCCCAGGTGAAGGACTCTGCATTTGTTCTTGTTGAACATCATCAGGTTCCTCTTGGCCCAGCTCTCCAGCCTGTCCAAATCTCGCTGAGTGGCTGCACAGCCTTCAGGGGTATCAGCCACACCTCCCAGTTTCATATCATCAGCAAAGATAATACTTCTCTTGCTGAGAACACACTCTATACCATCATCAAGGTTCTGAAATACTCAGTAAGACTTGGTGGCTTCTCTGGGGTTCAATGACAGAATGGTTTCAGTTGGAAAGGAGCTTAAAAGTCAACTGGTTCCAACCCCCATGCCACGGGCAGAGATATTTCCCACTAGACCAGGTTGTACAAGGCCCCATCCAAACTGGTCTTGAACACATCAAGTGATAGAGCATCCACAGCTTCCCTGGGCAACCTGTTCCAGTGTCTCCCCACCTCACAGTGAAGAACTTCTTCCTAATTTCTAATTTAAGTCTCCCCTCTTGCAGTTTGAAGCCACTACCCCTAGTCCTGTCAGTATAACCCCTTGTAAAAAGTCCCTCCCCAGCTTTTTTGTAGACCACCTTCAGATACTGGAAGGCTGCAATAAATCTGAATCTTTGTTCAGATTGATTGATTTCTGTATTTTTCCTCAGTTTTTGAATGCCTCAAGGAGTTCATTTTAAATGCTTGCAAATCATGCCTGACTGTCTATATTGTTCTATCTCCAAGAATTATTTAGCCTATGTGAATTTTCATATTAGTGAAACTTGAGCTATTGCCTACAGAAAGGGAAAATAAAAGGAAAAGTAGGAGATCTGGTGGTGAGAAATTAAGTCTACACTGAGTGTCTTCTGATTGCTCCTGTAATCCTGATCACTGCTACACCAGGGATGTGATTATCCAAGACTGAGGTGAAGATGATATTAAGCTGTCTGAGGGCTCCTAGAGCCTGTGCAAAAAAACCCAACCAACCAAACAAAACCAAAACCAGAGGGAGTTGAATGTCCTGTGCTGATAGAGCAGAAAAAACCTGCCAAGTGCTGTTGAGAATGTGGGCTATAATGTGTCTGTCACCTCCCTAGCAGTCCCTCTCTTTATATTACAGGGTGTTGGTTCAGCTAGTGACTATAACTGGCTCTGGCTCTTGAGATGCCTATGGAAAATTGATGCAATAGTAGTTCCTCAGCTGGGAACCTCACCCTGACACTGTTAATGGGCTGTTGCTTTCTGCTGAGGTCCAGGCATACGCTGACCTGGTCCAAGCGTATATGACCATCTGGGATGCTTTCATAAGTGGGTTTAATTTATTTTCCTTTTCAATGAATTAAAAGATCTCTCCTTTTTTAAAGGAAGATCTGGCTTTGCCTAGAAATGCATGAAGCCATTCTGGTCATCTGGTAACTTACCTCATCCAACTGTTTCTTTCCTTTCACTTTTGCATTGCCAGGCAAAGGAAAGAAAGAAAACACCTCGTCAGGTTACATTTTTGTGAGTATTTGGTTGCCATGAAAACTGACAGGAGCAGTGCTGTGACTTGACTGCTCTCAGTTCAGGTTGCTTTAAAAAAGACATTACAACTTGACATTCACTAAGAAGTAATAACGGTGAACTTCCCAATTAGGCAGCTAAAGCTCAGGGCTTCATAGAAGGATGTTGTCAGCCAGTTTACCAGCAGCCTTCTCTGACTCTTCATCCTCTCTCGGCACCTCAAGTACGCACTTTACGTTTGATCTGTCTGATGGGTGAGTGCGTCTGTTCAGGCAGGAGCCTGCTATCAACCTCTGGTCATTTCCACAGAGATTCATAATTAAGAGTGGAAATGGTGCTCACCAACTTTTGGAATAAGAATATTGAGGTTTAGTGTAAGGTGAAGAGTAGGAAAAATGGCAGCCATGTGTTAGTGCCCTTCGATTTTTGAAGTTGTTTCTATTAGTTTTACAACTCTGTAGTTTTGCTGTAATGAACTTAGCAAATATTTCTTAAGCAATTATAATTCTAATTGATTTTGAACGATTATATTAATTTGCTTCACTGGGAAGAAGAAAACAGAGTGAGCACAGTGTTCTTCACCTGAGCATCTCAAGATGAAGGTTTACCCAGGGCAAGTTGTTCTGCAAAGTCTTTGAAAATTGGATTGTCCAGCCTGAGAAGACCAACTAAACCTTCCACCAAATTTTACATCGTGTTTTTTTTTCTTTCCTTTTGGAGCCATGTTCACAGCTAACTTGAGATAATGTTGGCATGCAGAGCTTTTTTCTTTTCTTTTTCTTTTTAATGTTTAAGGTTTTTGTGGTGTGATTTGGATATTTTGCTTGGTTTTCTTTTAGCAGTACTGTGAAGCTTTGGGGCTGGGCTGGCCACTAGATGAATGACAGATGCTCTGTATTAATCTCTTTCCTTTCCAGAAGGGAAAGAGAAAGGGAGTGAATAAGAGACACTTACAGAAATGAAAACTAAACCAGCTCTAATTAAAATAATACCAATAAAATGAAATATGTAAAAAGCCAGTACTGAACCCAGCCCCTCCTCTGATGGCAGCTGTGTCACCATTGGCACTGATTCTGTGGGACAGGCACTGGTAAAGTCCCAGACTGGACTCAGCAGCAGATGGAAAGTGGATTCAGGAGCTGTATTCTGGAACTGGGTTCAGGAGCACACAGATTGGGATTGAAGGCAGAACAGATGGAGTCCTCCTTGGAAGCTGGTCACTGGAGAAGCCTGACCCTTGTGATTCCCCATCTTTATACTGAATATGACATAGATGGGACAGAACCCCTTGCTGGTCAGTTTGGGGTCACCTGTCCTGGCTACTTCTCTCTGCAGGTGTGGCCTTTTATTTTGTGTACCCCCAACATGGTCACTGCTAAATCTCATGAACTTTGATCTGCCCAGGAGCAAGTATAAGCAAGAGCTTTTCTGCACACCCCAGCCCTTGGCAGGAACTCTAAACATGGAGCTTCATCACTCTAGAAGCAGCTGCTGGCTGTGAAAATCTGACCTTCACTTCAGTAAGTGCAGTGACTTAGAAGAGACTGAGCTGAAAAGTAAAATCACAGAATAGAATTAGTTCTGTTCTAACTCAAACCAGGATGAGCGCTTTTAAATTTTTTTTTTTTTTAAAGTTGCTAATTTTTTAAATCTGGTTTTGCCAATTTGTTAAGGTGGGCTCCAATAAAGAAAATACCTAATGTTTCCTCCCTGAGCCCCCAGGACTCCTGAGAACCAAGCACACCCTGTGTCTGACCCAGAGCTGTGCGTGACCCCAGCAAGCTGCCGTGGTGTACCCCCTCTGTCTCTTACCTGGGTGACAGAAGTGACAAGAGGTGACAGAGTAGCTCTGCAGCTGCTCTTGGCA